AGAGGCTCCCTGGCAGTTGGCAAGGAGACACTGTGCCTGGATAAGCGAATCTGCACCGTCAGCTCGTCCCCAGTAGCACTGCCAACCCTGCAGTCCTGCTGAGTCAGGGGTGCTTCTCCGGGGGTGTCTGGGCTGGGAGTCTTAACGCCTGTTTCTCTCTCTACTCTGCTCCTCGCCCGGGACGCGGTCACCTGCACCCTCACCCCAGACAGAACAGAAGAAGAACGTAAGTCCTGAAACAGTCTGTTCCCTGAAATGATTCTCATGAGCTGAGACTCAGCCGGAAAAGGCCTTTTCAAAAGCTGGGGGCGGGGCTTGATGCGGGCCCTAGTGTTTGGCCATTGGTCAGCGATGGGGAACATATCAGCACAAACAGAAAATGGTGAGCATCTAAACCTGTGGCGAATTCCAGTTGAAAGGAGTTGTCGTTTAAAAACGTTACTTATCTATTTAAGAGTTACAGAGAGAAAGGGGGAGAATCCTCCACCAACTGGTCTACTCCCCAGAGAGCTGCAATAGTTGGGGCTGGGCAAGGTTAAAATCAGGAGCCTGGGACTTTATCTAGATGTCCCACATGGACCATCTTCTGCTGCTTTTCCAGGCACATTAGCACGGAGCTGGACGGAAGTGGAGCAGCTAAGGGTCCAGCTGCTGTGCCTATGGGAAGGCAGCAGCTTAACGTGGTGCACCGCAACACTGGTCCCAGCAACTGTCCTTTCCCATGTTACAAATACTCTGGTCTTGACTGGTTTCAGACTTCCAACAGTTGAATAGTTGGCATGTAGAATCCCCTCTTGTAAGCCAATATGCAGCACATCTTCAAGACCAAGTTAGGTCTCCAGCTCTACACTGCTGGCACTGAGAAGCCCCTACTCATTCATCTTTCCAGAAGAAGTGGGGGAGATAAAACAGCCATGCCCTTTAGAGAGTAGACGGAAAATCTGGAGGAAGAGGACCAGCAAGGTGGCTCAGTGCCTAAATCCTTGCCTTGCATGCGCCAGGATCCCATAGGGCGCCGGTGCATGTCCTGGCTACTCCACTTCCCATCCAGCTCCCTGTGCTTGTGGCCTGGGAAACCGGGAGAGGATGGCCCACAGCCTTGGGACCCTGCATGCAAATAGGAGACCTGTGAAAGAGGCTGAAGGAAATCAGGATGACAGTGCCCTGTATGCGCGAGTCCTCGGGGCAGGGGCTGTGAGCTGACGGAACTCCGGTCAGCGTGTGCACCCCTCCGCCCCCCACCAAGTTGGCTGATCATTTCAAACTTGAGAAATTTCTGTGTCCCACTAGAGCTCTCTGTGTGAGAATCCGAGGGGTGGGGTCTGAGATGGTGTTTTGGGGAAGGTTCCTCAGGTGTGGCTTGCGACTTGGTGCAGGTGGCTTGGGAACTATGGAGAGATGGACAGTATTGCAAACCACCACTCCCTCCATGGCCTGGTGTGATAAGGACTCACAGCCACACCCATGCATTTTGGGTCTGTGCGTGGCCAGAGCCAAGCGGTAGGGAACCAAGTGGCCTGCATGGCCTACGGTATCTCCTCCCTGGGTCTTTACAGAGAAAAGCTTATTGGCCTCTGAGCTACAGCCAACAGCTCACAGGGGTTTGATTTAAAATCTGGTTCTAGGATCCTAGCTCAGCTCTAAGGAGGACTTGGGCAGTGTAGGGTTGGGTGCATCTGTCACACTCCCCAGTGATGCTTCCTTCACACAGTAACCTGCCCAGGCAGGCCCAAGTTCAATGAAATGGCCTGATTGAATCTACCCTCTGCCCGACTGCTGCACGCATCTCCTTTCCTTCACTTCCAAAGCAGGATCATTATGCCATTGCTTCGTAATAACTTCCACCCGACTTGGAAATAAAAACTTTTTAGTGAAGCATCAAAAATGAGTGCATGGAAGAGCTGGTGAAGCTCTCAAGTAGGTCAGTCATTGCACTGGGCCAACACTCACTTACTAGTTTGACAATGCAGTGAGCCAGCACTAGGGGAAATGGGAATATTGGGGCACCACGACCCACCATGCTATCGTTTTCCCAATGCTTTGTGAGTCATTAGTACTGCTTAGGAAGTAAACTGAGGCACAGTAAGATTACAAAGAGCTTCTTTGTGAACAACAACACGTTGTGAGCTGGGCAGCTCCGGGTTGAAAGCGCTGCATCAACGCAAGGCATTTAGGATGAAGCCCAAAGTGTGTGATGGTTACAAGTACAGGGCTGCCTGCTGTCTACACTGCTGGGAGATTCCTAGTTATAGAGCTGCCTTCTTGGGTTGCAGAAATCCTAACGGCTCTCCTGCTCTTTTCCATGTCGGTTCCTGACGGCTGATTGAATTCACCCTCCAGTTAAAAGTAAGTTATTTGTCCTTGTTCTGTGGGAAGTAGAGGCGATGATTAAGAAAAAGGGGTCTCAAGTTGCTTCTTGGCCTTTTGGCTAAGATCAGGGATCTCGGAGCAGATCTGAGTTTTGGAACCAGGTTGAGGGAAACCCTCCATCTACCACCTCTGTCCCCGTAGGCTCCCCTGACTCTGCAACTGCACAGGGAACTGTGAGATGTGCCCGGGCACCGTGTAGGGCGGGAGTGTGAGCCCACAGCACTCGCATCCCCAGGACTAAGGACCGCAACACCAGCCCCTCCCCAGTCCCCAGGCCATCCCCTTTGCCCTAGGACCAGGCAGGGCTGAGCAGGATGGAGGTGACTGGTCCCTTTTCTCTTCCTCTCCGACGCGTGGCCTCCTCTGGATGCTCCTGTCTCAATAGTACTGAAACGTAAGCTTCTTGCTGCCCGCTTGCGCCCTTCTGCTCATTCCCATCTGTCCCAGATCCTCATGCAGTCTGACCATTCTCTTTAAACTCAGAGCCTGGAAGAATAATAGGTCTATGGCCTCCATGATGGAGATACACACACACACACACACACACACACACACACACAGAAAGAGAGAGAGGTTCACTCCCCACTGGTCCCAACAGCCAGGCTGAAGCCAGGAGATTCATCTGGGTCACCCATGTGGGTGCAGGGGCCGAAGGACTTGGGTGACCTCTGGCTGCTTTCCCAGACACATTAGTGCAGAGCTAGATGGGAGGTCGAGTAGCTGGGACTCAAATTGGTGAAAATTGTATTACATTGATAATGATACATGATAATAAAGCTTTGTCAATCAACGAATTATTTTCTTTAAAGGGCTGGGAAGTAAATGTCCTAAGCTTTGAGGGCCAAGTGTTCAGTGTCGCCCTTGCAGCATGAACCAGCTGTAGGCTATTCATAAAGGAATGGCGTGCCTGGGTTTCAATAAAATGATTTAAACCAAGCTCCAGGGAGCAACCCAGTGTCCAGCACTCGATGCATAAAGGAAGTGCAGTGTGCTCGTAAGACGCATGGCTAAGCAAGAAGGACTGACACAGGCTACCGCATGCCGACACGAGAGCCACAGCACACATGCTCACGCCTCCTTCAGGTGCGTGGAACAGGCAAATCCGCTGGAATAGAGGAGTCTGTGGACACCTGGGACCATGGTCCCAGTGGGAAGTGACAGCTTGCAGGTAGCGGGTTTTGAGGTGATGGCCAACAGCTGTGGGCTTCTTCTAGGGTGATGAAAATGGTCATGACTGACAGTGATGTCAGTGCTGTAGCTCAACGGCCCTGAAAGGCACTGACTTGTGCACTTGTGAGTGGCGAGTTGCTGGAATTACATTTCAATTAAATTATAAAAACAAGTTCAGAAAAAAGCAGCCATAAAATTATGATTTGTTACCCCATCTGAAATACTAGTAGTCCTCCAAAATTTCATTATGAAACCAAACCAAACATGGATTTCATGATTTTTTTGCACCAAAATAACCCCATCTTCTAATTCCATTTTTCCACAAACTTTTTGAAACACCTTCAAGTGCAGGTGTCTACATTACCACAATGCGACAGGGGCAGGAAGGAAGTGGTGCCTTTGGCAACCCCTAGGCAAGTCCTCTGAAAGCCATTAGATCCCTCCACTGCTTCCCTGACCCCCATGATGCTCTGCTTCCGTTTGCCACTCGGAGTCCTGATTGCTCCCCCAGACCTGTCCTGAGCTCTGCTTTCCTCTCCCCGTATCGCTACCTCTAATGTGAGCGTCTTTCCTACTCTGGACTCAATGCTGTGGCCCCTGTCTGCGCCCACGAACTGCGCTCACCTCCTGGACCACACTTCCTTCTGGGTGGACGACATCAGAGATCCTAGGTAAGTGTCTCCCGACATACATGCCTGGGCTTGCTTATCAAGAAAAAGTTTTTTAACTTTCTAAAATATGCCATGACCATGTAGAATATAAAGATACTGAAACCTCAATTTCACTTACTCATACCTCTCCGTAATTCATAGTCTGATGGAGGAGACACACAGTGGCAGGTCCTGGCATCACAGTCTGATGGAGGAGACATAAGTGACAGGTCCTTGTATTGCAGTGTAATGGAGGAGACACACAGCGGCAGGTCCTGGCATCACAGTCTGATGGAGGAGACATAAGTGACAGGTCCTGACATTGCAGTGTAATGGAGGAGACATACAGCGGCAGGTGCTGGTATCACAGTCTGATGGAGGAGACATAAGTGACAGGTCCTTGTATTGCAGTGTAATGGAGGAGACACACAGCGGCAGGTCCTGGCATCACAGTCTGATGGAGGAGACATAAGTGACAGGTCCTTGTATTGCAGTGTAATGGAGGAGACACACAGCAGCAGGTGCTGGTATCACAGTCTGATGGAGGAGACATAAGTGACAGGTCCTGACATTGCAGTGTGATGGAGGAGACACACAGCGGCAGGTGCTGGTATCATAGTCTGATGGAGGAGGCACACTACCGGCAGTCCTTGTATTATAACATGAGCCAGTGGCGCATGCAAGGGCAATTGAGGACAGTGGCAGGGAAACCAGGAGGACCTCCCCAAGGTCTGGGCAAGGTTGTTACACCCATTGGTCTGGGGCATTTAGTGTGTTACTTTTCGGAATTCAGCTTGTTGTTTCTTCCAGGTTTGCTGAGCCTGCAGGTATTGAGCGGTGAGTCATGGCTGTTGGGTGGTCATGGCTGTTGGGCCCCGTGATTCACCCCCATGCGCGTAAATATAGTGCTGTTCACCCTTTTTATGTTGGAAGAGCCTTAAATAGCACCAAGCCAACAAACACCGACTAGTGGTGGCTGCTCCGTGCGATTAAGGGTGATTCCAGGTGTCAGAGATGAAGTGGGGAATAAAACCAGAGAGAAGCTGCGCCTGCTGGAACTTACACTCCAGCAGAACAACAGAAAAAGAGACAAGCCGCTGTTGGCTGACCCTGCCCCACAGGCCCGGGAGGTGAGCAACATGGTGTGGCAGAAGCTGACAGTTTTGTATGACCATCAGGGAAGGCGAGTAGGCTTGACAGATCTGAAGGAGAAGGCTGTGCATGCCTGAAGGAGGGGGAACAGCATGTGCCAAGGCCCTGACGCGAGTCAGCACGGCCACGGAGGGGCAACCAAGAGAGCCAGCGCCTCCCCGTCTTCCCTCATAGGGAGTACCCAAAAGCACAGCTCACGGGTGGTTCCATCATTTTACAACTCAATGAGGATTTTTCTTTTTTCTCTCCCTTCTTTCCTCTCTCCTGATTTCCTCTTTTCCTTTCTTCTTCTCCTCCTCCCTGCCTGTCCCTCCCTCTCTCCCTCCCTTCTGTTCCCTTGCTCCCCTGCTCCTTTCCCTTCCTCCCTGCTACAGAAGAAACGGATGACTGCAAGGAGGAAGGTGAGTGTGTGCAGTGCTGCCGGCTCCTTAGGTGAGCGCAGGGCACTGCCTTCTCCTGCAGACAAAGCCCCTGGAGGAGAGTCTCAGGAAGCCAAGGTGAGGGCTCCCAGTGCACAAAGCAGGCAAGCACTGCTTGCCACACCAGCACCCCACGTGAGCGCTGGTCTGTGTCCTGGGTGCTCCACCTCTGACCCTGTTCCCTGCTAATGCGCCTGGGAAAGCAGCGGAGCGACGGCCCCAATGCTTGGGCCTCTGTTCCTGCATGGGAGATCTGCATAACGCCCCCGGCTCCTGTGAGCATTTGGAGAGTGGTGCAGTAGTTGAAGGATATTTCTCTTTAGATCGGCCTTCAAGGGAATAGAAAACAGACAGTGGTGAAAGGAGTAGTCTTAAAACCGATTACATTGAGCATGCACGGGATAACCTCTAATCACCAAGGCACGGCTCGATTATACAACTATTTCTTAAAAACTTTTAAAATTCTTATTGGAAAGTCAGATATACAGAGAGGAGGAGAGACAGGGCAAGATCTTCCGTGTGTTGATTCACTCCCCCAGAGGCCACAGTGGCCAGAGCTGCACCAATCCAAAGCCAGGAGCCAAGAGCCTCTTCCGGGTCTCCCACGTGGGTGCAGGGTCCCAAGGCTTTGGGCCGTCCTCTGCTGCTTTCCCAGGCCACAGGCAGGGAGCTGGATGGGAAGCGGAGCTGCCGAGATTAGAACTGGTATCCATATGGGATCCTGGCATGTGCTAGGCAAGGGCTCCAGCCTTTACGCTACCGCTCTGGGTCCTATACAGCTCTTAAATTAAAAAGGAGAGACACAGAATGATGAAAACCTCTAATGAGCAAGAAGGAAAGCAGGGAAAGGGACCAGGAGTGTCAAATAGACAAGTGCTCGCCGCTCCTGCTCTCTGCAGAGGCACTGGCCAGAACAGAGCAAGTGGAGAGGCAGTGACAGAGAGGCCGCAGCCACAGCCATACAGGCCACCCACTGCACACACGTCGTCCAGCTAAATGGCAGTGAGGCACTGCAGGACAGCACCACCTGTCACCCACAGCTCCTGCCACATCACCGCGCCGGCTTGACCCAGAGGGAGATGCACTTCTGTCTGGCAAATAGGAGGCGGCTTTACTCCGTCAATATACATGCTTCCATTAGATGGTTCTGAGGTCTGAGATCCAAGGTCACAATGAGCAGGTGCTCAGCTAGCTGCTGACAGCAACACCCACTTCAAAGACACATTTTTAAAGCACATTCTCAGAGAAACAGGTGGAGGAAAGTGCTTGCTGAATCCTCAACAGGAAGTTATTTCTTTTCTTTTTTGATTTGCACTTAGATTTCCACTGAAAATGTTCCAGGACTTGTTTAGATGGGTATACCTGCTTGTAAAAGTTTTTTCTTAATGCAATGCTTTTGTGATAAGATGAACCAAAGATTGCCGGATAGCTAAAAACACCTGCGCATCACATTAGGGTTTTAACAATTCCTCAAACTTTGTTTTTATGTATTTGAAAGGAAAGGCAGACAGAGACCTGCATCTGCTGGTTCAGTCTCCACATGCCCACACAGCCAAGATTTGGTCAGGCAAATGGGTCTCCCATGGGAGTGGCAGGAGCTAGATGACCTGAGCCGTTCGTCCCGAGCCCTGCAGGGTACACATGGGCGGGAAGCTGGACTCCAGAGGAGAGCCAGGCTTCTCACTGATGTCTTGCCCACTGTGCTAAATTCCTACCCCCTAGTAGGTTTCAAAAGGAAGGAGCGAAAGGTCAGATGTGGCAGGGACTGAGGTGACACACAGGTGTGGCTGATGCCGTGACTGAGCTGGGGAGGTGGGGACCATGGGGGCGGCTGGTGGGAGCCGGAGAATGCAAGGTCAGACTTGGCACTGTTTGCAGGGAGGAAGGAGACAGCAGCAGGTAACGGGCAGCTTGTCAGGGAAGGTGGGCAGCACCGGAGCCGAGGCCGGCATGGCCAGCAGGCGGAGGCTGTGCCTTTGGCTCAGGACAGGGACTCCGGGGCGGGGCGCCCCTGGCCGCAGAGGCGGTGCCCTCAGCCAAGTCGTGCCCTCTCCTCAGTGAAGCTCAGCCCAGCCACCACCCCTCTCAAGAAGCCGTTCCCAAAGAGGAACACGTGGAACCTCCTGAAATGCGCCTACATGATGGTGACCTTCCTCTTCATGTCCTACAACAAAGGAGACTGGGTAAGGGCGCCTGGCACGATGGCGGGAGAGGGGAGCGTGGAAGCCAACAGGAAGAGAGGGTGGCACAGACAGAGCCAGCAGGAAGTCCCAAGGCAGTCCAGGTGGAGAACGCCCCCTAGTGGCCGACATCCTCCCTCCCTTGTGCACTAGAGCAGCCAGGGGTTCGAAATGGCCACTCACATTTGCTCTCCCTCCGAGGGGCTCTTCAAATGAGGAAGTCCTCCCGGACTTGGTCTTTTGCTGACTGCTGGAGACTGACTGACAGAATTCCTTTTAGCAGGTCTTAGTCTTGTGAGGAGGGCAGGTGCCCACATTGCCCAGTGGTTACATTCTGCATGTCCTCTGGCACTGTGCCAGTGTCGCTGGGGGCTGCCCCTCTGCCAGCGGAGCTGGTTGGACCGAGATGTATAGGGAGAAGGATTTTGTGCTGTGAGTTGCTTGGGGACAACTGTGGTGGCCAAAGCAAGCCGGTAAGGCTGACCCCAAGGCAGAAACATGCTGTGTGTCTTCAAAGAACCAAGGGGAAATCTACGCAGTGCAGAAGGGGCAGCTAGTCTAGTGTCCTGGTGGACTACGGCCGGAGGGAGCTTCTGCCGTCAGGGTGCTGGAGATCATGTGATTTGTGCTGTGGGAGGGCTGCGTGGGGCTGCCCTGGTGCCAACTGGAGGTGGGCCAGGAGTGGAAGCAGACAGAATGAGGGTGGAGTGCCCACAACCAGGGCAGGGCATCTGTGAGGGTGGTGGGCAAAAGGAGACTGGACCTAGACTTCCACTTGAACCTGTAGTTAGACCAGTGGTTCCTCGGAGTGAGTGCCGCCCGGGGTCACTCGGCAGGGTCTGCGATTGTGTCTGGCTGTCACACCTGCAGGAGGGGTACTGTCGGCACTCGGTGGCTGGAGCCCAGGGATGTTGCTCCTCGGCCCAAATCCCACGGGACGGGCCTGGAACAACAATCCAAGGAGGCAGTGAGGCTGGACTTGGGCATCCCCGCATTGTGGCCGGCATGGCCTCCGGGGGTGAGGACAGCCGGCTGGAAGGTCAGGCAGGACATGGCAGGAGAGGTGGGGCTGGACGGGTCAGCCAGACCACGGGAAGTCACAGCAGGAGGGGAGGGGAGCAGGGAAGGAAGCAAAGGCGGGAGGGGAGCTGATCTGCCTTGCCTCTCGTGCCTCTCCCTCTGTGCCCACTCCCTCCCAACCTCCAGTGTTACTGCCACTACTGCAACCAAGAGCTGGACATCAGGTATGCCCCGGCAGGAAAGGGCATTCTGTCCACACCTGTGGGGTGGGCAGCCGGGAAGTGACTGCTCAGGGCCCGAGGCCGGGAGTGCGGATGCCCTTGGATTTCAAGCTGTTCCATGAGGCCAAGGAAGCACAGACGTACAACGTCTGGAGGAATCAGTCTGTAGATTCCTTCATAAATTTTGTTTTGGATTTTCAGAAACTGTGCACCCCCTGTGTGCTGGGGCGGGGCCACACAGCCTCCTCCCTGGCCTCATGAAGCACCCTCTCACGGCCGGGCAGGGGCTCACCCGTCATCCCACGGCTGCTGGGACAGGGAACTGAAAGGGCGCCTTCTTCCCACTGGGTAGTTGAGGAAGAGAGAGCTGTGCTGAGCGATGGGGAGGAGTCGGCCCTGATGAAGGCCGAGGGGAGCCTGTTCTGGGGGCCGAGTGAGGATTGTGGCCCAGCGTGGGGGAGGAAGGGTGCAGGTCCGGGGCAGGCCGCGCCCAGCCCTGTGGGAGGAGGTGGGGGCTGGAGAACGCAAGAAGACATAAACACACGCTTCTTCCTTTGTCCTGCCCCTCAGAGATGACCCCTGCTGCTCCTTCTAGTGAGCCTGCTCCTCTCAGCCCAGCCCTGCCTGGCCCTGCCCTGCCCTGCCCGGCTCTGCGCTGCCCGGCCCTGCCCAGCCCTGCCCCGCCCTGCCCTGCCCTGCCCAGCCCTGCCCAGCCCGGCCCTGCGCCTCCCAGGCACTCTCGGCTCTGGAGCCCTGTGCCCTGGCCTGGGCCTGCGGAGGATCACAGCGGAGGCTGGCAGGGGTGTCTGGGGGCCAGATGTCTCTTCCATACCCATCAACCCTTCCCCACTGTTTCTACAATAAAACTCACGCTTGCTCAAACGGCTGGAGCTGCTGCTTCTCTTCACCGAGTACTGAAAGTGACCGTGCCAGGAGTGGTGATCACACAGCCGACCCTTAGAGGAAGGCGTAAGGGGGGCTTGTTGGAAAGCATGACGCCGCCTCGTGCCTTCAGCGGGGCTCCACACCACGGGCACGTTTTACCAAGGTGCTGGAGGGTGCCAGTTACCCCAGGCATTGCTTAAAAACCGTTTAGAAGGAAAAACAAGCCTTTTACGCCTCAGCTTTTCATTATTATAACAGAATTCATCAGCCATGCTACCCTGGCTCAACCCCAGCTCGCTGCAGGCGCAGGGCAGAGGCTGTGCGGGAGACGGTGCAGGGCGTGCAGGGGACTGCGGGAGACAGCAACGCCCGAACTTTCCAGCACAGTGCTGCTGCAGGGATGGAGAGCCAGAGTTCTTGGTGTTTCCAAGAAGTCCCAGTTGCCGTGGGAAGCGCCGTGTCTGCAGGCGTGGCCAGTCCACCGGCCGCAGCGGGCCGTGGCTCTCTGGCAGCGTCCGAAGTGGGTGAGTGACGTGGCTGGCATCGCCTGCCCTCACTGTTGTGCATCTCGCGGCCTGGCGACTGTGCTGCTTATTTCTGCTTTGCTCTGAGAAGCTGGACAGTGCTAGGGCGTGCCCACCTACTGCTTCACCCCTCAAAGTACCGGGCGGGACACTTGAAGGGAAAATGGCTCATGCCAAAATCAGCGGAGGCCCGAGACATCCCACCCCAAACAGTAAAAACATCACAGGACTGGTGTTGTCAAGCAGCGGTTAACTGCCCTGCTGGGGTTTCGGGCTCCCAGCTTCGGTCCAGCCCCAGTCGGCCGCCAGGGGACATGTGGGAAGTCAACCAGCGGATGGGAGATCTGCCCATCACTCCGCCTTTCGCAGGACTCGATAGAAAACAAAAACTAGTCGGCCCAGGCGGGCGCACCTCGCCTCTCACTCAGGGCAGGGGGAGATGGCCCAAGTGGGGCGCACCTCGCCTCTCACTCAGGGCAGGGGGAGACGGCCCAAGTGGGGCGCACCTCGCCTCTCCCGCTCAGGGCAGGGGGAGATGGCCCAAGTGGGGCGCACCTCGCCTCTCCCACTCAGGGCAGGGGGAGACGGCCCAAGTGGGGCGCACCTCGCCTCTCCCGCTCAGGGCAGGGGGAGATGGCCCAAGTGGGGCGCACCTCGCCTCTCCCACTCAGGGCAGGGGGAGTCGGCCCAAGTGGGGCGCACCTCGCCTCTCCCACTCAGGGCAGGGGGAGGCGGCCCAAGTGGGGCGCACCTCGCCTCTCCCACTCAGGGCAGGGGGAGATGGCCCAGGCGGGCGCACCTCGCCTCTCTCACACGGGCCTCCCCGCCGCCCAGCCTCGAGCCCGGGCCGCCCCACCGGGAGCCGGTCAGCTGCAGGTGTGTGGGGAAAGCCGACCCCGGGAAGGCCCGGGCAAGGAGGACTGTTCTATGAGATGCGGACGCCGGCTGCACACGCTCCCTTTAGGCCAGGGCCGAAGGTGCGGCTTTGCAAGACTGATTACTACGCAAGGTAAGCTCCCTCGCCTCACCTGTTCCGTCTGGACCCTCGGCCGGGGCTGGAAAGAACCTGTGTCTGGGTCAGGGGGAAGGTACCGGGCCACCACAGCTGGCCCAGTGCCACTTTTGTGAAAGGATTATATGCACAGGGAAGAAGCACGCCCTGCTGCGTCGCCCGTGCTGCCCGGGGACGTGCTGAGGGTCGCGCTGCAGAGAGCCCTAAGGTGGTAAACACTAAAGCAGACCTCATCTCCCCCTTTCCCTCTTACCTTGGGTTCTTTCATCTTTGCTTATTTTATTCTCCCTGCTCAATAAACGTCTTGTGGCTTATCTAAGCAAGACTTGCAGACAGTTTCGTCGCACCTCGAGCCCCACGTCACAGTGAGACCGTGCACGGCTGGGAGCTAAGGCGCGCCTGCTCCCACAGGGTGCTTCTGGGAAACGTAGTCCAAGGGGCCGACTTCCTGGTGCGCACGCGCGGTGTGCTAGTTCGCGCCCGCCCGCTTGGGGGCGGGGCCTCGCGCTCGGGGAAGCCCTGGGGGCGGGGCCGCGCGCCGACGTGTTGCGCGTGTCGGGGGCGGGGCCGGCGCCGGGGCTCGGGGGTCCCGGAGGGCAGTGCGCAGGCGCGGCAGACGCCGCCGGGCTCCCGCGGGGCAGCTGCGAGGCGTCCGCGGTGGGTCCTTCCGGGGTGCGGGCCGGCGAGCGCTGAGGTGAGGGTGCTACCGCGGGCCGGCGAGCGGGCGGGCTTCGCGGGTGCCCCGGGACGGGCGCCTCTGCTCGCTGCCGCGCGGGGCTGCGTGTCGGCGACGGCGTGGGGGGCTGAGTGTGAGGCGCGCGGGGCGGACGGGGCGCTGCGAGGGCGGGCTGAGGGGAAGGGGAGACGGGGGCGGGCTGAGGGAGACGGGGCGCTGCGAGGGCGGGCTGAGGGAGACGGGGCGCTGGACGGGCTGAGGGAGACGGGGCGCTGAGGGAGACGGGCTGAGGGAGACGGGCTGAGGGAGACGGGGCGCTGTGGGGATCCCGGCGCCGGCGGGTGTGTGTGTGTCGGTGGTGGCGCGGCGCCTGTCAGCGTCGGGCTGACGGAGTGTGTGAGTGTGAGTGTGTGAGTGTGTGTGTGAGTGTGTGAGTGTGAGTGTGTGAGTGTGAGTGTGTGAGTGTGAGTGTGTGAGTGTGTCTGTCCGGACGCGGGTCCTCTGCCCTGCGGGACCCCCGAGCCCCTGGGAGAACCCGCGGACGGCACAGGTGTGGCCCGGCTTCGAGAAACTTCGATGGGGCGCCGAGCCGGGCTTGCCAGGGCCTGGCACGTGCAAGCCGCGGTGGGCGCTGGCGGAGCTGTCTGCGTGGCGAGTCCCGCGCGTGGGCCTGCCCGGTGGCGCGGGGCGTGCGGGCGGGCAGGGCCAGGTGGCATCCCCGCGACGCCCCTGAGCAGACTCGTCCTCTGGGCTGGCGCGAGCAGCTGCAGGTTTGCAGAGCAGAAGCCGGCGGGCGGGTGGCAGAGGGCACTGTGCCTGCAGGGGCTGGGGCAGGCGGGTGGCAGAGGGCAGTGTGCCTGCAGGGGCCTGGGGCAGGCGGGTGGCAGGGGGCACTGTGCCTGCAGGGGCTGAGCTGCGGGCGGGTGGCAGAGGGCACTGTGCCTGCAGGGGCCTGGGGCAGGCGGGTGGCAGGGGGCACTGTGCCTGCAGGGGCCTGGGCAGGCGGGTGGCAGAGGCACTGTGCCTGCAGGGGCTGGGGCAGGCGGGTGGCAGGGGCACTGTGCCTGCAGGGGCTGGGGCAGGCGGGTGGCAGGGGGCACTGTGCCTGCAGGGGCTGAGCTGCGGGCGGGTGGCAGGGGGCACTGTGCCTGCAGGGGCTGGGGCAGGCGGGTGGCAGGGGGCACTGTGCCTGCAGGGGCCTGGGGCAGGCGGGTGGCAGAGGGCACTGTGCCTGCAGGGGCTGGGGCAGGCGGGTGGCAGGGGGCACTGTGCCTGCAGGGGCTGGGGCAGGCGGGTGGCAGGGGGCACTGTGCCTGCAGGGGCTGAGCTGCGGGCGGGTGGCAGGGGGCACTGTGCCTGCAGGGGCTGGGGCAGGCGGGTGGCAGGGGGCACTGTGCCTGCAGGGGCTGGGGCAGGCGGGTGGCAGGGGGCACTGTGCCTGCAGGGGCTGGGGCAGGCGGGTGGCAGAGGGCAGTGTGCCTGCAGGGGCCTGGGGCGGGCGGGTGGCAGGGGGCAGTGTGCCTGCAGGGGCTGGGGCAGGCGGGTGGCAGAGGGCACTGTGCCTGCAGGGGCTGGGGCAGGCGGGTGGCAGGGGGCACTGTGCCTGCAGGGGCTGAGCAACAGAAGTCCACGTCTGGGAACGGAGAGGACCTGCAGATACGGGCCTGCCCACGCGAGATAACGCAGCGGATGTTAGGATGTGCCATCCCTTGGCAGCGGCCTGCTGTGCCCGAGCCCGCCTCCGGCCGCCCTGTCCGCTCAGCAGTGCTGGCTTGGCCTGCCGGTGGGCACACGCTGCCCCCTGGTCCCCGCGCGGGTCCGGGCCAGGCGCGTGGCCGCCCCTTTCCGGCGTGCATTTGCGTGTGACCGTCACGTGGCCGCCTGTGGCCTTTGAACAGTCTCCAGCTCGTAGCGCGTGATTTAGGGAATGTCCAGAAAAGCGCCGTGCATGTGCGATGCAGATGCCCTCCTGCCCGCAGATGGCTTCGGTGTGCGGGTGGCTGAGGCCGCAGGCGCAGAGCTCTCGGGCGTGGAAAGCCAGCACATTCACGTAACGGGAGTTGGCAAAGTGTTGAATCCCAGGTATGTGGCAGAGCCGCCTTCCCTCCCCGCAGAGCTGCTCCGGACCGCGGCATGCGTTGCTCTAGGGTCTGATGCGAGGGCCCAGGCGGCGGGCGGGACTTCAGGGGAGCTGGCCCCTCGGGCTCCGCGTTCACTTAGACGAACTGGTCGGGGCAGTTGGGCAGTGCCGAGCTGCCCTCGGCGTGACGCGGGCCTCAGCCCCTGACGCTGGGCGCAGTTCATGCTGATTGTCCAGACCCTGCGGCCGCTGGCCTGACACGGGGCGAGATCGTGGCGGCTCGTGCAGGGAGCGGCATGGGAGGGGCGTGTAGCATCTGAATTGGAGCTTGTCCTCTTCACAGCATTCCAGAAATACGTTCTATATAGCGTTCCCATTTAACAGACGCTGGCCGCTACTCCCCCGGGTGAAGCCGAGC